ATAACGAATTTCCGAGGCATCACTGAATGTGTGAAGTACCAGGAGTGAGCGGTCGGATTGCGGAAACAGCATGCGACGTGGAAAACTAATGCTCTTAATCCTCTGAAGATCATTTAAAAATTCCAAACAACGGCCGTTTTCCTCCTCGATAATATACCTCACCTAGTGATAGGACGTTTCAGTATGTGGACCCTAAACTCAGAAAAAGCAATCATAGTATTCCAGAACAATCCTAACATGCGTTCCGCTGGAAGTTTTCCAAAGTCAGTGTCCCTTACGGCATCTGCTATTCTTTCGGATGAATTGAGCTACTGACACTGCTGACGTAAGCCTCAAAAGCGGCATTGTCTGGACCTCCAACGTAGTTATTCAATGAAATCAATAAACGTAAATAATAGTTCATTCGTGCAGATGTCTTGGAGTACAGGATAGTAAAAAACTGATGAAGAATTGGCAAGAAGGAGCTCACATTAACTTGGTGCTGGTGTTATTTTGTGCTATTGTACCCGTGTGATGGATAACAGGTTCCATGGATGCAATACCACTGGTAGTAGGCAATGAAGAACAAGTTCCAAATGAGTAAAATCCGAATACGGTCTATATAGTGTCGCATCAGATTTTATTTGTCCTCACAATGGATTTACCTTTTGTGTTATCTCTAATGAATGCGACAAATATGTTCCTAATTGGTCGAATCCTAGTCACATCTCTGATGCTATTGTATCAAATGTAGGGTATTCTCACAACAAATGCATGTTGAGTAGACATTCTTGTCCAATAAATAATGAATCAGAGGAAATAGAAAGCTCTCTCGAAGCATTCAGGGAACCAGTTTGGTCAGATATGAAGCCTGTACGTGCAGAAAATTCGAATCGAGTTCAGGATTATCCTAATGAGTACGAGGTAGATGAATATTTCCCATTTTATTATTTTGCAGGTGAAATAAGCTCAGATGAATTATGTGTTCATTACACATATCAATAGATATTTATGTGATAACTGGAACAATGACCTCGTGTATTTTGACGTGGAAAGCAAAAGCAGTATGTAGCATATTTTTGATGCCAGTCATTTCACTATGTGAAATGACTCAAATTATGTGTCAGTGTGTATCCCCAAATACTCACATACAACAATGGAAAAGAGATATAAGAAAATAATGCAAACTGGGAACGTCAAATTGGTTACGACATTGAGACATAAGGACTCTACATTATTTCGTGGGAGAGGATCGTGCTGGAAAGTCTATGGTTCAAATCCTAGATTTTAGTGGTTCCACTAAACAACTGACATGGTAGTTGCATACAATTCCAGGACACAGGCGAGTCTGTTTCTATTTCATTTGTTAATCCTAATACTAATGAATGTGAAGACGCCACAAGTATCTAGAGTTTGACATTTTAACCTGTAGCATCTTCCATGATCCAAACGTGCACACTCAACAAAATTAGAAGCAGAGAGGTTCGTTGACATATATGATAGGTTACCAATATATCGAAAGGTGTCCAATCTAAACTGGCTAGTGGTTGTAGGAGAAGTTATGGTCAGCGTCCATACTCGTGATCCGGCGCGAATGAGTGACCAAGCACCTTCGGCTAGACGAGTCCATTTAAACTGATATGTTCAGCTTCAAATGTGATTGACCTACAGAGTTATTGACTTTAGGGATTTATTTACCGCTACAAGTATATTCTAAATCACACAGAGTCAGACAGACACATGACCAACCTAAGTAAAAGCGCCTTATCTGATTGCAGAAATTTGGACTCTCTTTTAAGCTGTGGAGAATGTGTTGTTTACATGAACTAACGATTCTCCTGCACTTGATGACTACATGATTTTGAGTTCCAAATGCAATACTGTCATTTGTGCTCATCTAGTTTTACTTGCTGTAAATTGCACTACTTCGTGAATTCCTAGTTCGTATAATAATTCAAATTCTTATAATCAACACAGTAAGTTTGTTCGTTGGTATCCTAAGGACAAGGAAGTGTGAAACATAAGTTTATGAAGAATAGGTAAATTGAGGAAGACGAAAAGGGTTATCACTTGGAAGACTGTTCACAATGAAGTAAATGTTCGGACTTCTTCTGAAGATGAAAACTGGAATAAGCTTTATGATTCAAGCAAAAATAATAAACTACGTGTTCCAGGCTTGTATCTAATGCTATGTTACAACCATTCCATTATTGATCTAACACTCAAGCATATTATTCGGAGAGCCAATGGGCTTCGTCCGGATTATTTTGAACATAGTAAGTTCTATGAACATCGTGACATCACCTGTTGAATCTAGAAATCGATAATTCAGAAGACAGTATTAGCCAATAACTTACTTAACACAACAAACGTTTAAAATGGAACAGAAGATACTCAGAAGAGATACTGTAGCGACAGAAATTCCGGAACTCAGTCTGAAGGCAGAGCTGCAGAATCACTTCTTTCAGATACGTTCGTATGTGAAGAGTACGAAGCATTTCTGAGTTATTGAAACTAAACTATATTAAAACATAAACTCTATGCCCGATTTAAACTGTGTTTATTTAAGAAAGCAAACTATAACACAAGCACAAAATACCCAAAATAGTGCAGCCTGTGCTGTACAGTCAAAGGTTCCTCTAGAATAAACCAAAGTGCTAAACATCAAAAGGAATGATTAAAAAATAGTTATTCGTTATTGGAGAATCAGTAAGAGAAGTTCCGACGGAGTGTTGTCAAATATTTATGTACAAGCATTCGATTAACAGTTTTCAGCAGAGAGCCAAAGGTTAATGGTCATCAGCTAAGACACGCCGTGGCTTTTAGTTTAGTCAAATACGACACAATTGCTAATGTTTTGGGACCACGCAACAGTAAAATTACGTGATAAACGTAAATATTTGATCAAAGTCAAATAATGAAATTCGAGACAAAGATTACTGATAAACATAAAACAGTTTCAAGAGACCAGAGTAAAAGCTAAAATACAAAACAGAGAAAAGAAGAATAAATAACAGTATTGTTTAACAGAACGCTTTGGAGAGATTTCTAGTGCATTTATTCCGTCACGTTTGCCATAAGTAAGAACATAAGTACAAATAAAAATATGGCAGACCGAAAATGTGCACTAACTGAAAAATAGCAATAAACTTATTACATCCAAAAATCAGTATAACAGTATGCAACTTGTAATTTATGAACACAAATAAATGTTTAGGGACGTTACTTAAATCAGTTGGCTGATGCGTGTTCTGCTGCAATTGGTACCAGAATCCACAATTATAAATAATTAATAATCCTAGTGAGGTTGATATGGCCCTAGTAAGATAGCCAAACGTAAAATACGATGAGAATGTTACTACAGTCTATAAATGCAGATGATAGGTAATTAATAGTTAGGTTATCGTATCCACAAGCATTTTAAAACGAGAGGCGTGTGTAAGAGTGTAATTATTTATGGGCGGTTAACAATGTCGTGCTATGTTGGATTTAAAACGGACGGAAGTCAGTAATTGAGGTCACACACTTAAACAACAAGTACAATCGTTTGGTGATAAATGTACAGACTGTGAAAAATGAGAAAATAAATGCAAAAGATATCAGTAAGTATTTATAAAATAGGTTTATTAGACCTATCGCCACAAATAATGGTACCTGGATGTCGCTTTGTCTAGCTGGCACAGACGCCAGACCAAACCTTATTGTCTAAGAACAATTCCTACCAGAAGAATAAGGGCAAGTCAATTTAGTTTGTTCCAAGTATGATCAATTAACCAGAAAACGATGATTATACGAAAAATATGATTAATTTCCAATGAATAATAGCGAACGTCCCAAAATCGAACACGGAACATGCTTCCATATAAACCTCACGAAACAGAAGCAACCAGTTCACAAAATACCGAAGTATGGTGGACCAGAAAAGCGAAAACAAAAGTAAACAAGTAAACAAGTAAAACAAAAGTAAATCGTTTATTAAATGACTACAACAACAGTGAAGTAATAAAGGTTCGAAATTTGTAGGCAACATAACAATAACTCGATAAATCTCGAGATTAGGAATCGAATTACAAACCAAACATAAAATGGGTAAACATTATATACTGCGAAGATGTAAAGAGCTATTCACAAGAAAAAGCATATATGCAGTGATATTCTCCATATTTGCACATGAGCATGCAAATATGGATCTCACAAAGACACCCTCTCCATGTAACAGCAAACCTCAGATACCCTTTATAACGGCCACATCAGATTACTACTGTGTCTACTATTATTATCATTTGCTTTGTTCAATATTATATTTTTGGTACAATATAAAATTCTCAGCACAATGTATTTCAACAAGTTTCCAGTTCTTACTTCTTGGTTGATCCTGAAGACAAATATTGAGTGATCGCCAGGTAGAAGTCCAGTCAATCGACATCCAAATAATGTACATTTTTACTGCTGCATATTGCCAGCAACCACGATATCTCTGACTGAGCCCTTGGTAACTTGTACGACGAAAATTTGTACACCTCAGAAAGGTGCCCCAATAGGTTATGCGATTAGTAGCCATAATGATGTATTAAAACAGACAAATCAGATGACTTTTTGAAATATCTAGATGACAGGAACAGGTAGCCCAGATGTTCAAGCAGGCTGCCATAACTAGTAATAGCAGTCTCTGTTAAATGTGTTTCTACACATATTTTTAATCACCACTTACCTCGATAGGAGATACGTATGTAAGTGTAGAAGTAGGTTGGGAGAAAGTAAAGGGTGAGCTAAACCAAGACATGGCATCAGTCGAGGAGATCATTAACTTGTGCTTATAAAAAAAGTAATAGTTGATTATAAATTATAAATGGATAAAGGAACAATAGACTTCATTATAGAAAGTATAAATTTGTATACATTTCAGCAATCTGTATACGGGACGAAATTATTTGAAACAAATAAATTACTGTGGATCTGGCCAACCACAATAGAATGACTTTTAATGCCCACAAAAAATGAAAAAATATATGTTTAAACACTCACCCCCATTTCTGTTTTTTAAATTTATCAGCTTCTGTCTTTAGTAAATTCAAGTACTTTTTACGACAATCTGACTGACAATCAAATAACATAGGAAAAACACTGATGATGCAAAGTGGATGATCTTCACAAGCTTCTTTTAAAATACTTGCTGAAGTCAATTCAACAATCTCTGGTGCTGGAGCAGAAGCATCGGCTTTTTCCATAGCCCATGCAACGATTGCATCTGAACTTCGAGCACCATCGTAATCAATAGGGTCATCTGTTTTTGGTCCAGCAGGGAAAAATTTGATGGTAGGATAACCTCGAATCTAAACCAGAAAAAAACAATCATATAGCGTCAGACCACTAAGTGACCCTATCTATTTTATGTGCTAAATACATCAAATAATATGTTTATATTCATCAAAACCATAATCACTGAAACAGCTAAATATGAAGTTGCAAAAGTTGGCTTCGTTAAAATTACTAAATTAGTTTTTATTTAATCAATCAAATCCATTTAATTAAGATGGCTTTTTTGATCATCATTTGCAGAACAATTTCAGAGAACTTTGAGTTTTAATAATAACAATATAAAGCCTAAATGACATGCTACTTTCTAGATTATCATTGATCCCTGTGTTGTTTATAAGTCATTGAATCAGAATTCAGTTATCTTCATTATTTAAAAATTGGAAGTTAGATTGGTTTCAAGTTTGGCGGATTGATCGAATCATTACTGTTCAAGATCTTTAGCTATCATAATCTATTTATCTGGTGACTAAAATAATTCTGTTTTATTAGATTTCAGCAGTAAATTATCTAATAAGTCTAGTATACTCACATGCATTTGTAAGCTTTATTCAATTTGTGTTAGGTAACTGAACGAAATAAAAGTCAATGATGAAATTACACCAAAATTGTATACCCCATGAAAACAAATGTCGATTTTTGTGGATTTATATAACCCATAGATAGGATTTTATTGTGAGCTGGCATTAGATATAGAACAATCTTTAAGAAGGCACCAGTTTATCAGTCAGAAACTCCTTATTTGTATGCACATGATGTTGAATCCAGTACTATTCTGTTTTAGAGCGAACACGACATTGATCAGTCGGTCAGAAGATAGTAGTTCAGGTTTTCGAGTACCATTCGATTAGTGAAATAGCACAATAATCACACAATGTTATCAATGGATAGCAACTGCACTGATCAATTGTTCAACCCATAAAGTCATTTCACAGTAGAATCTCCAGAAAACTAATTTGAAAGTAGCTATTCAGTACTATCCAGTATTTCAAGAACTTCATTTAGTAAAGAGAAGACGATGATTATCAGTAAAAGGTTGTGGAGGTTGTTTAGCTTAGATTGGTACATGAATGGATCAATGTTAAACCCCCATCACTCATGATATCAATCTAAGCTCGAAAATTTTCACAACCCTTTACTGAAAGTTATCTTGTTAATAAAACACATGGCAATCAGTGTGATAATGAATTTGGCATTTGTCTATAGTATTTAAAAACGAATCTTCAATTTGCACGATGAGAAAAACGTTGGAGGTTATCATTAGCCATTGAAACCATAGATGAATTAAAAATACATTTAAAAAGGTGTCATTTTAGTTAAAGATTAGTGGAAAGAAATAAAACTATCGTTGTACGTTACAAACAGTGTATTACTGATTATTGAAGTATGGCATCAAATCGTCTCCACATTTTGATTCCACTAATAGAACCAATTTTAATTCATATTACGTCACAATGGAACTCTTAACAACATGGTAGTAACAACCTTTAGTCTTACTATATCCCAGTGACTATTTTAGAGAAGACGGAACTTTAAAAATTACCTTCCTTAGTATACATCAACTTGGTTACCACGATAACCGAACAGATAAGAAAACACAGTTTTCAACTTGTTTTACCGCATATCAAAGACAATGAGAGGATATAGGGAAAGGAAAAAAAGAGATGAAAGTGACTATACCAAAAGCAATGAAAAAGAGGGACGAAAGGAAAGATCAAAATAAGAGAAAAAATAAACAAAAGTATGAGGATCGTCATAAACAGGAAAGCAAGAAATAGATGAATTATACAAAATAGTTAGAATCATGGATTTAGTGATTTTACTGACCGATAACATATCCTTTCCAGACTATTAATATTAGCTTTATTCAATATTATATTTTTGGTACAATATAAAATTCTCAGCACAATGTATTTCAACAAGTTTCCAGTTCTTACTTCTTGGTTGATCCTGAAGACAAATATTGAGTGATCGCCAGGTAGAAGTCCAGTCAATTGACATCCAAATAATGTACATTTTTACTGCTGCATATTGCCAGCAACCACGATATCTTTGACTGAGCCCTTGGTAACTTGTACAACGAAAATTTGTACACCTCAGAAAGGTGCCCCAATAGGTTATGCGATTAGTAGCTATAATGATGTATTAAAACAGACAAAATCAGATGACTTTTTGAAATATCTAGATGGCAGGAACAGGTAGCTTAGACGTTCAAACAAACTACCCACACCCTCCTCTCTCACAATAAAATGTCATAAAATAGTCAAGCTTTCCTTCTATATTCACGCGTGTGCAAGCTTCGGATCTCCTCTCAAATAACCAGGTCGACAAAGATTGAGTTCATGATAAACGGAAATAAATTCCCAGATATATATATATATAATAGCTTGGTACTTATTGTAATTTTCAGCTTAACTTTTGGATGGAGTACTTTCAATATGGACTACATTCGTAGACTAGTGCAAGCAGTTCAGTTTACAGATATTTTACTATATAGTCCATAATGTCTAGTAGTTTATAGGAATTAACAACGTGTTATGAGGCTTCCTTTCGTAGAAAACTACAACTAAAAGTAACTTTTGCATCTCCGTCATTGCAACAGCAGCATCATCCCAAGAATATGTTTTTTTCTCAGTCCTGTTTTACTGACTTCTTATCAAGATACATTGCACACGTGTAGTTAATAAGGCTATATAGTTTCCATTTCACGTGTTCAAATTGGTCATGGTCAGCAACCAAAATTTTATAACTGGAAATGCAGTCATTTACTCTGATAAAAAGACATTCAATGCTAATAGCAATGGCACTTGCTCCTAACACAGGATATATGATCTGCAGAAATTGACATAAAAGAATAGCACGAAAACTGAAGACAGCTGGTTGTCATTGAAGTTCATAAGAATTATTAATTCTGTCGAAGCTCCCAACTATTAGATCTACAGGGAACCGCTGTGGAATGGCCAGCTACCAAGTTCACACAGCTGGACCCCATTAGTCGGAAGGGAAACTTAATCATATCACTCGCCACGCGAATACGAGGAACTTGTATCCCCGAGGTTGTAGATAACAAACTGAACCTCGCTAATAAACTAGTACCCGACCGTTGCTGAGAACAGTCAGTCAGCTACAATGTGGGACCAAACATATATATATATATATATATATATATATATATATATATATATATACCTGACCGTTGCTGCTACCTTGACGTGGTGGTCGAGCTTGCCTACCGTGATGATCCAGTCGAGCTATGCTGGCTGGAACAATCGTTCCTCAAGGTCCTACCATGCCAGACAGGTCGGTTGAAGAGCGGTGAGACTAAAAGCAGCAAACCCAAGGTCCGAAGGCGAAGTCGTACTGTCGACTGTACAGAGGTGTGACGGCAGTAAGGTGTTTCCTTCAGACAACCAGCATGACAGCGATGCTGCCTTCCCACAAGGAGGGGTGGGGTTAGAAAAGGTCGGCCGTAAAAATGCACACCTCGCCTTAATGCCCAGGTAGGCAGCTTGAATCAAACAGAAAGACATTTAGGTGGGTGTTTTAGTATTCCGGCTCAACGAACCGATAATGGTGATCGTCTGTTGCAACTATGCTCAGACAATCGTTTATTTTTAGCAAGCACTAATTTTAAACATAAGGAGAGACATCGTCTAACATGGCGACCACCTGCACCAAACCAACGATGGACTCAAATAGACCATATTGCCATCAGTCATCGTTGGAGAGGCTCAATAGAAGATTGTCGCTCGTATTGGAATACTTGTTTAGACTCTGATCACGCTTTGCTACGAGCGCGCATTTGTCTGCGCCTCAATGGACGCAGGAAAAGTACACTAAGAAGACCCATTAGGATTAAACTGGAGGACGAGAAAGCCAAATGCGAATTCCAGAAACATCTGAGTTCACATCTAGGCAGTTCTGTAAACAAGTCTGACACAGATGCTGCTTGGAAAGACATACGAACAGCTGTGGAAACAGCAGTAACATCTAGTAGTCATTTAAACCATAGGGCTCCAAAAAACCAATGGATTTCTTCTAAGTCTATTTCACTGATGGATTCGCGTAAACTCATCCCATCAGGCTCTGAACATGACGAAGAGCGTAAACAAATTAGATCTAGGTTGACTAAAAGTCTAAGGAACGATCGTGAGCAGTGGTGGGCAACGAAATCAAAAGAGATGGAAAAGGCAGCGGCTGTAGGGAACACCAGGCAACTAATAAAAGAAACCGGAATTAAGAAGTCAAGTGTAAGTGAGACAATCTCCGATAAAGACGGAACACTTATCTGCTCTCAACCCAAACGTTTAGAACGATGGGCGGAACACTTTAAGGAGCAGTTTAGCTGACCTTCAGCTACTGCACAACTACCCACTGTTCCTAGAAAACCTGAATGGAACATTGAAGTAGGCCCCCGACCCTACTTGAAGTTCAAAAGGCTATAAGTAATCTGAAACGAGGAAGAGCAGCTGGTCCAGATGGATTGGCTCCAGAGGTCTTTAAATATGGTGGTCCGATTTTAGCGATTAAGTTGACTAATATTCTGGCTAAAATCTGGGAGACGGATGTAATCCTAGTCCTGGTCACAATCACTGATTGTCCCAATATATAAAATGGGGTCAAAATCATCCTGCGATAACCATAGAGGGATTAGTCTGACCAACATAGCATCTAAAATACTAGCCTCAATAATTATCGGGCGCCTAACTAAGACTCGTGAACTGCAAACACGAGAAAATCAGGCTGGCTTCAGACCTGATCGTGGCTGTATCGACCACATATTCACCATTCGTCAAGTTTTAGAGCACAGACACGCTTATCGGCGTCCGACAATGATAGTTTTTTTTGACTTGAAAGCAGCATTTGACTCTGTAAACCGAGAGGTTCTGTGGCAGTGTGTCATTGAAAGGTGTACCTGGGAAGTACATAAACCTTGTGGAGGCTCTTTACTCGAACACTACCAGTCAAGTGAGAGCTTATGGCGCACTGTCATATGATTTTACAACCTCAAGTGGTG